GTGGTGATGACTAGCTGCCTTCCCTCTAGTCTTACACTGCTAAATTAGGGAAGGCTAGCGCAGATAGCCCTCGTGTAGCTTTGTGCGAAATTCAAAAACAAACAAACAATATTCATAATCCAAAAATATGACTTTTAAATTCGCATGCAACGTATGTTCTTTCATGAGAATCAAAACACCTTCTTGTATATTTTCTTCAAACAGTCCCTGGTTGATCACTTTAATGATATATTAATATACTATTAATCTTTCAAGACACCACAACTGGTAAGCTATAGGTGCAGTAGAAGTCCACAAATTCCTATTTCCCTTGCACTTTAAACAGCAAAGTGATTCTTACTTGTAGTTTTTCAGAACATTTGTCTTTGTTGTAATATTTGCTAGAGACGATTTTCTTTACTTAGTTTACCAGTTATGTCTGATATGTTCTTGAGATTATGTGATGATGGATTTAATTTACTTGTGTAATATTACTGTTTATGGAAGAACGGTTCTTACCTAAATGACTCATTAATCAAGTTTTATCGGTGTTTCTACAGCAGTTCTGATATCAATCGTCAAGGAAATGGTAAAATCGGTAAATTTCGAAGGCCAGAACTACAGTTACTGAATATTAGACAGTTACGTTCGTTTTTTGTTTTTTTTTGGTCGGTTTAAACTCACATTAACCAATAGTTGGAAAAATATAGAAATTCAGTTTTATAATGTTCCAACAACTTGATCTAGTTTACTCTTCTCGATTTTAAAATGTATAGATCAAAGTTAAGGAATCGTTCAGTTTATAGATGAATATGACCATTAATTTAATATTTGTTTCTTTAGTGCTTTAATACATAATCAATAATAAAGTTCTAAAGCTCGTGTGATCGTCATCTAACTTTTATTGGACCGTATCTGATTGTTGTTATTTGTGTTTTTTTACACGAAGAAATTAGTAGCATGGATAAAAAACTTAAACTTATTGAATTTATTTTATTTCATTGACACTAATATCAATGTTGAGAAAACTTTCCACTTCCAGAGATTTAAAGTTTGATATTCATAAAAAACAATTTATAATAGCGATATCTAATGCACGACAATGATGTATAAGTAGTTTAAGGATATCTGTCGCCATCCCTAATTTGGAACTATAGATCAGATAGAAAGTAGGCAGCCAGCAGCACCATACAACCTTCCAACCTCGTTAAGGGATAGCCTCTCACTCTTATAACGATTCCACAGCTTAAATTGCGGGTAATATTTTGTAGTATAGCATGGATTCGAATCCGGCTCAACAATTTCGATATCCAGAGCTCTAGCCACAGGGGCCAATATCAAAAATAAGTTAATATATATATATATTGAGCAGGTTTTATCCACAGATACAAGTTAGAGATGTTTTCTTATCTGTTTTAGAATAAGGAATCTGTTTTATTTTAAAGTTAAAATTTCCAATAATAAGCGATCATTTGTTATAAATTCACGCGTCGTTACTAGGGGGCGGTTGACTGCTCATATATAGGAACACATTCCTAGAAAATCAGATAGATTGCCAAACTATACACAGCATGTAACGTCGCTGTCAAAACTGATAATCTTGTGATAGCGAGTGAAGCTTGGAACAAGCAGATATTAAGGATTCCAAAGCGTCTAGTCATTACTAAGTTTATTTCAAACCAGCAGAACCTGGATATTCCGCTTCTCCTTAAACATCTTCAATTTTGATATGTTAAGCTCCATGTTTTCGTTTCTTACACCATCACACACCTGATTTTATATTATTTCTACATTACTGACAGTTTTATAGCTATCACAACAGTCAACAACTAATAATATTTCAAGAATGTCA